TGATTATGCTTTTGGGTTCCCTTTAAGAGTGACACCACAGCTTCAATCTCCAACCAGAGCCAAGCCACAGGAAGCTAGTTACACCCTATATCACAGACTAACATTATTGACATTTTCTCAATTACCCAGCCCTCTTGATGCCATTTGAACTTCTCCCAATACCTGCTGGTTGCAACAACACAGCAGGGCTGCTTTATTAGACGAGTCCCATCAATTTTCTAATTAGCTACTTTCCCTTCAAATCTATTGGTGAGTCTGAAATCAGATTCAAAATCAATATAGGACTATTGAAAGCTTGTACTTGTAAGGACAATGTAAGGTGCAATAGGCTTCCAAATCAAATTTACCTCCTAAGAGCTATTAGTCTGAACTATGCAGATGATAGAATTCTAGAGTGAGGGGGGCTCCACCACCAGGATAGGAGTGAATTGACAAAGTGCCCAAGGCAGCCAGAGCAGAGCTGATTCAGAGAAACTCCTGCCTCCTGCTTTGTCACCATCCCATCCCACTCCATATATAACTCTGAGCCATAGAACAGCAGAATTTCCATCAGTCAGATTATTTGCAAGATCAGCTGGTTAAGATGTCAAGAACAATGGAAACCAGACAAGTTAGTCCCCCAACTGCTCTAGATTGACAGCCTCTGCAGAACATCGAGGAACAAACAGAAGAGTCTAGAAGGCTTCTCCTCCTTGGAACAGCTAGGTGAACTCCTTTTCTAAAACTCATCTCTGCATAACCAAATGACAGTGCTCACTGATTTCTTAAAGAGAAACATCTGTGGCTTCTATTTTTAATGGCAGGCAAGGCATTGTGCTTCAGGCAGAGAAAAGATTCAAATTACTTGGATTAAAATCAGAGCCTTGCACATGAAATTTTGGTGGTTTTTGTTTTATTTTTTTAATGAATGCTAGAGACTCCAGAATTCAAATTAAGGATATATGACAGGATCACCCAATTATAGAGTGCTGAAATTCTTAATTATTTGGACACAAATACATACACTGTTGATGGGACCTGCTCCTCTTTTTCAGTGTTCAATGAAACCAGACTAGGTTTCACTCGTAATTAATGAATTCACTTATTTATAATCACAGATTCTCTAATTTTTGTATTAATAAATAAGTGAATAGCAAGTAATTTGCAAGTAATTTCCACTCAGTAGTATATGAAATTTAATGCACTAAATTTACCTGCTAACTTATGTTTATTTCTGTGGTGAAGCTGACCTTGGTTGTGCTCTTGAGTTTGACTCTTACCTGTCAGAGAACAGCCCAAGGGAAATGACTAATTGTCAAGTCCCTCGAAGCACTGACCATGACTATGCTTCCCACATAGTACCCTCCATGCATCGCTCTTTTTTCATTGACTTAAAAGTAATCAGTTGCCTCTATTTTTATTAATTCATTCAGATCTTCACTTTTCAAAGTGAAAGCTGAGTTGAGAAGCTAGAAAGTGGTTTAACTGAAAAGACTTTTGTAATCACGGCCAGAAGAAAACGGTAGCATTATCAGGACTTGACATTTCAAGTTAAGGGGTACTGTGTAACCCTGATAACCTTTACAACACTGCTGGTTCTTTCTGCAGGACCCAAACCTTTTCTTTGTAATCTAGTTGTAAGCCCCGTGATAACCTTGTTGTTGTTTACAAATTCCTTGCTGAATTCACATCTATGTTTGTGAGTTTAGAGTTTCTACTTGCAAAATGATTAAGAGTGTGGAATGATTATAGTTTCAGAGATGGGGAAATTAGGTTTGTACCTTTATTCAGGCAACCAGATATGGAAATAAAAGCAGACAGTACTTGATTTGATGATATCAGTTGGAACCAGTTGCTCTTCATATTAGCTACAGGCAAGTATAGTAAAAATAAGATTTAACAAGATGTTCATTTCCAATCTAGAGAACTGAATATAAAACTTGAAACCAGTGAGTATTAGTGGAATTTGGGAAAATCTAAGGTTTGCCTCTCAGAGGGGGTGTTTTCTATCATTTTACAAAGTGTGGCTAATTATTGTTTTGAACAGACAAATATTTCTAGATTAAACTTTTTAAAGCAGTCTAGTCATATGTTTCTAATAAAATAATTCCATACCACCTGGAACCTGAGGAACATCAGGAGGAAAGGTAGTTTGCAAAACAGCCACTTTTGATTAAAGAAGGGACCTGTAAATTTAGGTCTGACAGCTGGGAAATGAACAATAAAACAAGGGTTCCCTACAGTGAAGAATATTTAGCCACAAAGATGATGACAAAGAAATGCTTAGAATAAGTGAAGTGAGGTTCTGACATATGCAGTACACCTTCAGTTTTGCAGGTGGAGAGGAGTGGATTGGGATTCCTGCATCAGGATAACTGGTAGGCTGCCTGGTTAGCCCTGAGCTGAATTTTTACTACCCTTCACTTATGAGCTGTGTGTTCTCAGCTGGCTTACTTTGTCCTCTGCTTTAGTCTCTCCACCTGTACAGTGAGAATAACAGGGGCAACCAGGAAGCATAAGTGTCAGGACTAGATTGAGAGTGTTAGATACTTAACATAATGTCCGGTAACCTATGAGCACTTAGAAAAAGTGCATGGAAAAATATGTACAGAAAATAAGTTCTTAGTGACTTCCTGTGATTCTGTGATTGATACTTTTTTTATACTTTATGGCAACTTTCAAACTTTTAGCAGTAAAAATGTACTACTTTTCTAAAGTCATCTTTGTTAAAGGCACATGTACATGAAGTGTCAAGGGCCTGGATTAAGTGAATGGTACTAGAAAAGGTACAAGTATGGGAGGGATCTGAGGGATCCTACATTTCAACTACCTTGTTTGAATGAGGAAACCATTGTCCAGAATGATATTCCAGCACGCTTGGTCTAGGACCCAGGTCCCCAGACTAGGCACGGATGGATGTAGGAGAAAAAAAGCATGCTGCTTTAGGATTTATGACTGGGTATCTAGTGGCAGTGTTATTGAGGAAGAGTGGAAAGGGGTAGAATGGAAAGAATTATGGTGATTACACAGATTTGGATTTAGGGGCTTGGAAGAACAGGCTGAAGTGGAAAAGTCAGTGAAAGAAGCAGTTTTGATGGAAAGAAGAGCATGTGTTTGGTTGTGTTTATTGTCAACTTTGAGAAACATTCAACTGGGTTTCATCTACCAGTAGCTTTTGATCTAGATGTGAAGTTGTGTGTCAGGGCAGGGACAGAAATAGAGATTTGGGAGATTTTGTGGAATTAAAAGATGAAGCTGTGATGAACAAACTTTTCAAAGTTCGAGAAGAGACTTCAGTTGAAAATATCAAAGTGTTGAGGGATGAGCTGAGAAAGCCAGGTGCAATTAAAAAGGGAAGAAAGAAATGGCAAGGAGGAAAGGGAACATTTGGGTAGACAAGATCTAGTGGTCCTGTTTCAAAGAGAGTCATTCTCCTCTGAAATTTAGGAAGGAGGTCAGGAAAAATAAACTTGTGAAAAGAAACCAATAGTCCTTTGGCTTCAACTAAGAAGATGTCACCAGTTATTTAAAAAAAAAAAGTTTCAGAAGTAAGAAGATGAAGCAGGCCAAGTCTCCTGCTCAAGAAATTAGGGAAATAAGGGAAGAAGGTATTTGATGATAGTTGGAAGAGATGATGGAGCAAAATCATGGATAATTTAAGACATAGCACTCTATGAATATTTGAAAGCACAAGGAAGAAAAACCTTTGGGGAGGTAGAAGATAAATGTAAATAAGATTCCTCAGGAAGCTACAGAGCAAGTGAGGAATCTCAGGCATTATGTCCAAAGGCATCTCTTCTCCTTTATATATAAACTATTTTTTTCTGGTATTTTGGACTAAATCTTAGGCTATTTATAAGAGCTCAAAATTTCCACTTACATGCTTTCTTTTCTCATGTTTTAGAAGAAACAATTAATGGTGGAAGCTTTTGCTCCTGGCGCAGTATGCACCTCACCACAGTACTTAGCACAGCAGTCATTAAATCATTACTTATGTTGGTATTTGCTTCATGCAGGTTTTCCCAGAAGGACCCTAAACTGCACCACAGGAAGGTTCACATGGACTCTTAACCACTGTATCCTAGTAACTGTTTCAGTGCCAAATGCACAATAGGAGCCCAGTAAATACTTGTTAAATGGATGAATAAAGGAATGAGTGAATGAGTGTTCTCTCCCACAGAAAACAAACACACTGTATTCAGAGAGGTAACTCAGGATTTGCATTATTCTCTGAAAGTAACTCAGGCAGTTTAATAAGTGCATTAATTCTTTGAAAACCATTTAGTGAGTGGCTTTGTTTTTTCTTGAATTCAAGTACCTTTAAAAAAATCACCCCCTACCCAAGCTATCCCTGAAACCCATAGAAGAGTCTGTTTTTTGAATGTAGATTAAGAACAAATTTAGGCAGAAGAGTTGAGGCAAAATATTTCTATACTGACAACAAAAATTTTCTTCTACTTTTCTATCTGTGGAATTGGTATAATAATAAAGGGTGCTTTGGGAATAATTAGGATTAAAAAGCACTTAATAGCAGACTTTGATGTCTTTATTGTTAACTATGAGCATTTTACCATACTTTATTTCCTTGAAAAGTTTCATTTCTAACCTTGTAAAATATGTTTACTGTAATGCAATTAGGGTACTAAATAGGCTTATGTTTTTGTGTATTTTCCATCTAAAACCTTATCACTCACCTAAAACTGATAAGGTAGCAGCATATCTCGAATCTAATTGACAGAATACACAGAATGGACTCTAAATATTTGTTGACTGATTGAATAAATACTGCAGTGACCTGTCATCAATTCATTTCACCTTCATATCAACATTATAAGGTGGAAGTTTTTCTCCTTTTAGATGAGAAATTTCAGGCCAGGAAGGTAAAGCTACCTACTTTCCCAGTGTGACCCAGAACCTGCAACCCAAAACCAATCTTCCTGATGCCCCAAGTCTCAACATATCTTTTATTAGCACCTATTCTAATTCTGATTTCTTTCTGTCTCCTTTTGTTCCCCAACCAGGAAATGAGCAGAAGCCCATCACGGAATGGTTTCTCATCATGCTTACAGCAACCATCTGCTTTGTGTTATTAATTTTCTTATTCCTCTGCAGAATGTAGGTATTCTTTAGGTGCTTCCAGTCAGGTCTGAGTATTGAGCTGTTAGTCTTGTTGTGCATCTATTAGGTAGAAGGTTCTTGTTTAGCAGGTAAAATTTATAGCACTTTTGATCCTGGATAGCTTTTCTGAGATGAGTATAGACCAAATCAAAAGTGAAAAACATCAGTAGTTGATATACAGAAACTGGACAGAGCACAGTATGGCTGTCAGCCACTACATACACTTTCTTAAATTTTTTAACAAGCTACTAACTTCTGAGAAGGTTTTTACCTTTGTGTTCTTGATTCCTGTACTGCCTCCCATTCACTACCTGCTTGTCTTGTTAAGTCACCAGTGTGGGCCTCAGGTAAAAGAAGGTAACACATTGGAGTTTGAATTCACCAAGATGACTCCACAGTATGATTCTCAGTTATTAGGGGTCAAGTCCTACCTGGCTCTTGAGTCACCTGGGCTCTGAGTACCTGACTGTGAAGTAGATCAGAGCTGGGGCAAAGCAGGTCAAGCAAGTGGCTTAATCCGTCAAAGTAATGAGACCTAGGGCACACGCAGAGAACAGAACCAAAGATGACTGCAGTTCCTGAACACCGAATGCGGAACCAATCAGAAAAGTGCTATCTTTAATTGTTCATTTACATGTAGTGCAAAACCAAGTGAGTCATCCATAGGACAGTTTAAATCTGGTACCAGGTCAAGTGAGTTTTTGATAGGACAAACAGTACCAAGACCCTTATTTGCATTATGGAGAAGGCAATGTAGGAATTCCAGATACAAAAGACTCCCCTCCATTATCCTCATGGCCTCTGTGAGCCTTTTCAGCAGCCTGCTCTCATTTTGCAGAGCATACTTCTTTTCTACTTCAATAGATGTACTTCCCCATTACCTTTTCTGTGCCTCTTGTCCAGTTCTTTGTTCAGGACATCAAGAATCTGGAAAGAATTTCTTTGAGACCCAAAGCCAGTATCAAACAGAGTCTAGAAATATCATGCAAATGTGACATCCTGGGCGCGGGCCTCCAAATGGTCTCATAAGCATTCTCAATTCACTTTAGCATTCAGTAAGGCAAAGTTCCCTTTAGGAGGTTTAAGAACATGTTCTGTCTTGACCTTTTTATAATGTATAAAATATTAAACAAATTTACTATTATAAATGTTATATTTAGATAGCATCTATCAGTTGGGAGGGGTCACAGTTCAAAGGAAACAAAGGGAAAGACTCAGAGCAGCTGGGGAAGGAATGCTACAATCATGATTGTAGGTAATGGTGAGGTGCTGCATGCTGGACATTTATAGTTCATTTTTAGAAATCAGGCTCAGCAGTGTGCACAGATGTGGAACAGTAACTATTTCATTGTCTGTGGATATCTCAGAAGCCACATCAGCACCCAAAGCCCTTCAACTAGTATTATGATGTGAATATTTGGAACCTTGACCCATAAAGATTTGGAATTTATAAAACAAGTAGTCCTAGAATTAAGGTTAATTTAGAGTAGATTAATTCATCCAGTTCCTTTCTTTACTCTGTTATCAGATATCACTTATGGACCAAGTTGTTTCCACCAGTTCCAGCACCAAGAAGTAACATCAAAGATCTCATTGTGACCAATAACTGTGAGGTAATATTGAAAGTTTTTATGATATGTTCTGAATTCCCTGGGAACTTTTATTGGTTCTAGGTTTTTTCTATTAATGTAGGGATTTTTTCCAGAAGGCCAGGAGACTAATTCACTTAACTAGTTTAATTTTAATTTTAATTTCCTACCAGACACACACACACACACACACACACACACACACACATATACTTTTTTGCTTTTCTTTTCTCTCTTTTTTGGTACCAGGGATTGAACTCGGATCCTTGTGCTTGCGCAGCAGACGGCGAAACCACTGAGCTAAATCCCTGGCCCTTTGCTTTGCTTTTTGAGACAGGGCCTTACTTTGTAGTTCAGGCTGCCTCAAATTCTCAGCAATCATCCTACCTCAGCTTCCCAAATGTTGGGATTACAGGCATGTGCCAACAGGTCCAGTTCTCTTATCAGCCATCTTTTAAGTGAACTTAGACAATTCCAACCCTATGATCCTCAACTTCCTTTTTGGTATATAGTAAGAGGCACAGATAAAATTGACCAGTGTTCCACTGAACTCTAATATTTTAAGGTTTCATGTTCCTGTAAGTCAATAAAGAATTTTCAAGGCAATTTTATTGCATGAATAATGAAATGAACAGTATTAAGAAAAACACAGAGAAAGTGTTATGGTTTATATCTAGATACTCCCCCCACCGCAAAGCCTCATGCACTCATAGCTGGGGCTTCTGGGAGGTGATAGGATAATGGGGTTGATAGCTATTAGAAGATGGGTTTGGTCTGAAGAGGTGAGTCAGTGGGGCCATGGCCAGCAAGGGTTTATGTTCCTCCCTGCTCCTCCTTTGATCTCATTCTGCTTCTTAGATGTTATACTGTGGGCACGTCTCCTTGGCTATACTCCTCTGCCATATCCCTCTGCCATGCTGTCCTGCTTTGGAGCCAGCCAACTATAAACTGAAACCTCTCCAAACTGTAAGCCAAATAAACCTCTCCTCCTTCAATTTGCAGGTTTCAAATATTTTGTCCAAGGAACGTAAGACATAAAGCAAATGCTTCCCTTGAATAAGAATTTTCATAGTCCTACTCACAACTCAGAGCACATAGGCTTACCTGAATGATCACTTACCTATGGCTCTCAGATCTTCCCAGTGTCACTTACCTAGAAACATTCTTTCCCCAGTGAACTTCCTGGCATCTTTGTCAGAAAGCAATTGTCTGTGTATGTATGGGACTATTTCTACACTATCACTTTATTTTCTTTGGTCAATACTATTAGGATTAATGCAGCTTTATTATAAACTTTGAGACCAGGTAAGACCCCCAAAGATGATTTTTTTCCCTCAAAGTTGTAGTTATTCTGCTCATTTCCATTGTCATAAAAATTTTAGCATCAGCTTATCATTTTCTATAAAACAGCTTGAATTGTGAGTTTTATTCACATTTGAGTCTTCCAACCTATAAAAATGGCATATATTTTTATTTAGGTTGTCTTTAATTTCTGTCAGCAGGCATGGTGATTTCCAGTGAAAAGTTACTGTACTTTATTGAATTTACCCTTAAGTTGAATAGCTATCTTAGAGGTCAACAAACTTTTTCTTTGAAAATCCAGAAAATAAATGCTTCAGGGAAAAATAGTCTAATTCTCAACTTTTTCTTCTGTCATTGCATTGTCAAAAGCATTCACTGAGGTGTCACTTGGGTGGAGGCAGCAGCCCAGGGGCTGAGAAGAGGTGCTATGCAGGACTGAGGGTCACCTTTGCCATCTGAGGAGTGAGAAATACATCACAGACACAGCCAGAATAACATCTGACCATATATTTGGGCACCTTGTGATCTGATCAAATCAACACATATAAGTAACCATCAGAGAAATAGAAAGGAGCAAACTACAGTTAGAGAAGCCGTAAGAGACACACACCTCCTCTCACCCAGCGCAGAGCAGGTGAGCTGTGCAGGCACCAGCAGCAACCCCCCATCCCCAGAAATGAGAAGACATGTAAACAAGTCTCAAAGCCAGACTTCCAAATCACCTAAAGAAACTCCAAAGGGAAACGAGATGGAACAATCTGATACTCAACCACCTGGACTCCCTGAACTAGCAACAAAAGAGGATCTGGAAAAAATGAAATCAGAAATAATTTCTCACATAACAGCAGAGATTGTGCCCATAGTGCAAG